GGGGGGGGTCGGCCGGCGACTGCTGGGAGTTGTAGCCCTCTATACAGAAATGCAGAATGGTAACAGCTATAAGTGGGCAGGGCGGGCATTGTAAGAGCCGGGGGGCGGGGGATCTTGCACCAAGGCCCATTGTTCCATAGGTCCGCCACTGATGACAAGGGGTCTGTAACACATAAATTTGCACACTTCAAGAATACATCCATGAAAGCCTGTATGCAAGTAACAAAATAGAAAATATTGTTTGATGGATGGATTGATTGTGGATGTACAGTCATCATCCACTGTCTATAGTCAAACTTCTGTATGTGGGATAATTTAAGCCACACATGTATGCACAGAGTGTGTGCAGTTTCTTGCACCAAACTGCAGTACAAAAACTGTACACAGTGCAAAGCGTGGTCTGAGAATGCCCAATATTCTAGTAGGCCTGTGCGAGAAACAGAAAATCATCTGCGCTATAGGTCTGATTATGTGTGTTGTGGACAAAACTAGCCACTGAATATTATTCTGTGTGATCCAAAAATGTTCATCCTCATCATGGACCTAATCAATTGAACTGCATTCAGCAGTAGTGCTAGTCGATGCATTATAGAATTGTATTGTACAGAATCCAGAACTTCTACCTCTAAGAGTTATTTCAGTGACTTGATAAGCCTATAACTCTTATCTTCCCTCTAACCCTTCTCCCCAAATCCCCCTTTGAATAGTTTAGATTGGTTAGTTTTTGTTTTCATGTGGTTTTAGGGCTGTATCGAATAGCTGCCATTTTGTTTCTCATGGGTGTGTAAGGCAGTAAGGTAAGTATGGTGATGTTGTGCACTGGCTTATTTTCTCCAGCCTACAAATCCCGGCATGCATTAGCAGACTTTGTTTTCCTAATGTCACATGATCGGACAGGTCTTAGGCGGCACATCTTTCTGAGTATGTGCACAGAGATTGGACACATACAGCACACATGACCAACAAGAGGGTTGAACGTAATGATGTAAAAACAGAGAGACCGTATACCAAAATTAGGGCAGACAGAATCTGGAGCAGCTGTGCATGGCAACCAATCAGCGTCTATCTTCAGCTTGTTCAGTTAAACTTTGGAAATGAAAGCTAGAAGCTGATTGGTTGCAATGTACAGCTGCTCCACATTTTGTCTGCTCCAGTCTTAAGCTGGCTATACACCTATATATTATCTGCAGATTTGCTATGGTCAGATTCCTCCATCTATGCCAAACTGTGTGGATGGAGGAATCTCCCACTGGGCCAAGCTTCAGTATCTTGCAATTCGGCCCTGCTGGCTGTTAAAATACCCGAACAATCTGATTGGGGCAGGCACTGTTCAGGGACTTTGAAAGCCAGCAGGGCCGACTAGCAAGATACTGAAGCTTGGCCCTGTGGGAGATTCCTCCATCCACACAGTTTAGCGCAGATGGAGGAATCTGTTGCACTTTTTCCATCTGACCGCAGAAAATCTGCAGATAATCTATAGATGTATGCCCAGCTTTATGGACTGGAAATAAGCAGCAATGATTGCACAAGGAAACCCCACAGGTCAAAACAGCTAGGTGTATAGTAAATTCCCAAACCAGAAGGACAATTAACATATGAATAAGAATAAGTAATAAGAAAATAGAAACACTGCAAACAAATTGATACCTTAATTAAATACACTACTACATATTTAAACCTACAAAACTGGAATTATCCTTTATGAAGAGCTATGAAACTTTTTACT